AAGTGCTATTTGATTATACTTAGCTATTTCATGATGATCTATGCTACTAGCTAGTATATTTTGATGAATCAAGATTGATAAAGTTGAGTTTGTGACAAAGATTTGGCATGCTTTGATTTTGAGTATTCTGTGCCGAAGCTGTTTTGTATTGAAGTTAATCTGTGCTGAGGCTATTCTATACTGAGGCTTTTCTTTGCTGAAGCTTTCTGTGCTAAAGCTATTTGTGCCGATGCTATCTTGTGCCGAAGCTTTTTGTTCTGTAGATGTTATTTTCTGAACCAAGAACTTTAACTGAACTTTATGATATACTTATGCTGTGTTTGATTATGCAAAGATCTGAACATGAGTACAACACTGAAAAAAGACTGTAGAGGTGCTGGTGACTTGATCTCAAAAGGAATTTCCTATTTTACCCCTCAAACCGTAGATGCATCGGATTGTAGTTTTAAGATAGTAACTTGGAATTCTGTGTTGCCCAACCTATTCTAATTGTTGTAAAAATTCATTGTATTTAGTGTGTTGACACTTATTGTAAATGGTAGTGAGGCATGATCCTTTACCCCGTGGTTGATTAAGCTAATTGAAAGCTTTTTGGGTCCAAACGTGGTTGCTTAGGACATGGGGACTGCGTAGATGCACTATGGTGTACTAGTGTGTGTGTATTGGTTGTGAAAACTAGTGTCTACTTTGGTGCATGGGTGTGTGCAGAGAGTGAGACAACTGAGTGTGTAACAAGATATATACAACTAGTGGATTACTTATTGGCCGAGGCTAAGAACTAAGGTTTTCCCTAATTAAGAGGGTTTCCTTGTAAATCTTGTGTTATATGTTTTAACCAATTCACCCCCCTCTTGGTTCAACACAAATAACGCCATGGAGTTGCCATGGGTTAGGGACAGTTATCCAATCCTCCTTTCGTGCCGTCATGGAGTTGCCATAAGACGGGTTTCATTAACAGTTTGGAAATGAAAACGAAAATGATTTTGGAAACGGGGAGCGACAGTGCATGACCCTGCATCTCATTGCACGGCATAGTTTATTCATGATTTGGATTGTTGATGTTGTTATCATGGTTATATTTTTTCCCAGCATGGCATAATCCTGTCTCCTATATTCCTATTCATTGTTTGGATTCACGGAAGGTATGTCTTAGGCACCACCTACTGAGCAATTTGCTCACCCCTTTATATTAACATTTTTCAGGGCTTGGGAAAGAAGTGGCAGACAACGACGCTGCACCACAGGCCTAGTTCGGATTGGATATCTATTTTGTTATTTTGTAACCTTTAGTATTTTGTTTCATGGACTATAGAACTTATATTTGTTCTATGGATAGTAAACTTGATGTAACTAATGTACAACTCATGCAAATGATTTTTCGATCATGTCAATGGTATGTTAGCCTTGTATCTTGAATGGATAGTATGTGGTTTATCACTTTTCTGCCTATTGGGACATGTTTAAAGTAGCTTTCAAAACTTTTATATAAGCCATTGCATATTTTTCTCATTTTAAGCGATCCAGTAGCTGATCTTTTGCTCGTAGAGCCATTTAACCAAAATAGGCATTTCGGTTGACTGATCATTCCAGTAGCTTCGGATCATTTTTGGGCCACAACTGGTATACCAGTTGGTCCATTTCGGCCGACCAGAATAGGCACTTTGGCTAACCGAAATTTCATTTTGGCAATCGAAATGCAGGCCCTTTTCTAGCTCTTGTTCTACCATCTTTAGAGCTGTTCCCTTACCTTGTGCGGTTCCTTAGCGCATGTAATGAGTTGTAGTGGTGCATTGGAGGTGTCTTGACACTAGACATAATTGGGATTGACTTAGGTGACCTCAAGTTCGGGTAAGGACCCAATTATCGGTTCAAACCCACGGGTTTGGGTTGTTACAGGTCATTTTTGTCACTTTTGATACTTCAAAAACCTATTTTTAAGCAAGTGACCATTTTCCGCCTTTTGGCACCAAAAATCATTTTCTTACCAAAGTGGTCATTATCGGCCACTATTGGTACAAAAACATTTTTCAAAACAAAGTGACCATTTTGGTTCTATTTAGGTTACTAAATACCACTTCAAGTGAAATATGCATTTTTTGAGTCAATAAAACAATCTCTGAAATAAAATGACTATTTTCAAGTTCAAGTAGCACTAACTAAAACCAGACACATTCATTTCCAATCTAAATCAACCAATCAATCTAAACGAAGAATGAAATCAATCTCTAAAACAAACCATCATCATTTTCCAAAAGCGAGCACGAGTACAAGCACAAGCACAAACCCATACACACGTGCACATATTTCGAGAGCACATAAGTTCTCAAAATCGTCCCTTATTTGGAGATACCCGGCATGAATGGATAACCATTGTCCATCAATGAGTCTAATGACAATACAATGTCTAGCAAAACTCTGTCAACGGGTTTACGGGCCCAAAGTTTATAGTTTTTAAGTGGGATCGATGTGACCCCTCCATCTTCCTAGGAGCTTATTAGTTGTATGTTATTGGAAAATTGATTGACAATTTGGAAACGTCATTTCAATATATCTTTAAATAGCAAACCCAAATCATGCGGACTCATTTAATCTTAAACATGAAAGGTTCACACCTGCTTAGGATCATCGTCACCACTGATGTATGTCTTGGCCGCACAACGTTTAGAACAATTTCGACACAAATACGCGATTATGTTGTCTAAAGGGGATTAGGTCTTTAAGCAATATTGTAATGATCTCGCCTATTCTTCCAGGGAACTCACCTGGTTGTGCGCTAAAGGGATCACAATAGGTAATTTGGAAACATCCTCTGAATAAATGATATTTCATGTTAGGATCCAATAACACTCATCTTCAATCCTCCCTCCAACCATAGCATAACTTTAGGACACACACCAAAGACTACATTCGGTTTACTTGAATCACAAAACTGGATGGAGACCCTATAATACTCAACCATGAGCACCATAATGCTCATGTTCCCTTTATCAGTCATTTTCCTCTGCTACACCGGATTGTGATTTGTGTATCAGTGTATGCCTTAAACACAAAGAATCAAAGAGTCTAGGTCTTCTTCCATAGACTAACAATGTGTTTGGTTTGCTGGGCTGGGCCATGTTATGTTTTAGTATGGATTGGGCTGGGCTGAATGGCTGATAGGAAGAAGAAGTGTAGTACAAGCAAAGGAACAGTAATATATATATATTTTTTAATTGGACCTGGGCTATAGCACAGGTTAGCCAATTAATAGTTCCGCCCTTGCATACAAATACTATAATGGGTGACCATAAAGGTTCAATCATGAGTTTTTATCTAAAAAATTGTCACTGTGGTGCAAGGTTGGATAACTTCGTACTAAATATCAGTGCTCCACAGCTTACAAGTTGACAAAATTTTAGTTATTTGGACTTTATTATATTTTAGGTGGAAATGTTAGAAACTTAATTGAAGTAGATATATTTTGCATAAATATAATGTCTTTCTTTTGAGTTGGTCTTGTTGATTGAATTACAAACATGTGGCTGAGTTTTAATTTTCATGTCAATTTTAAGAGTTTATAAGTATCATTGTTGCTAGTTTCAATCTTGTCACAATTTTTAATCTGATTAAACTCACAACAATGCGCATCGTGATAGTTCTAAAATATCACTTGTTGAACCAAATATTGCATCAAATTGTTATTTTTAAGTGTGATTTTCTCATTTGTCATACTATGCCTCTACTCCGATGGGGCTGGATCATCAGTTTGCTTGATCAAAATCGCTACTTGTCTAGTGTGAACTGAGAAGGATTCTTAGATTTTTGTGAAGTGATTTGATGCATTCTCAAGTATTTGTTCGAGTCCAACATGTGACTCGGGTAGTTCTAATGTCACTTTTCTTACTAGTATCTTACATCTCGGTTCGAGGCTTATTAATGCCACACTTGGTTATCTTGGTAATGCAGTCGCTTGCCATCTCAGAGTGATGTGCCAAATCTAGTTCCTATGGAAAAGATAACTTCCCTGGAAGCTGGTCAGACCAAAAAAAGAATTCTCCAGGTTCACTTTCATCACCATATGTTGCCTCTTAAGCTGGCCTATTGCGGTGCAATGACAAGAAGCATCCCGTAAAATTGCAGCCTGAATGTCAGGGACGGAGCTGATATAGGACCAGGGGGCACGTGCCCCTCCTGGATTATATATATCCACTTATTTTTTTTTATGTATATATACTCCATAAAAACCAATTTATATGTATTTAGTGTACAGCGTGCCCCTCAAACAAAAATTCTGACTCCGTCCCTGCTGGCATTAGATATAGTAAAACCTCTTCCAATGGACATGGAAGTGTTTGTGAACAGAGAATCTCAACTCCCTGGGATGTTTGAATATATAAGGAGGTCAGTTATTTTCTGTGAATTAATAGTTAAGCGCTCTCTCCCTCCCTTCCTTTTCATCACTACCACTTTGATAAAATTTTAAGACCAGTTGGTGGCTAAACCCCTGAAGTAGTGCCCATTGTAATTTTCTTGAAGGACTGCTGAAATCTATAGCTAAAATTTTAGAAGAAACAATTTGCCAAATTCTCATTTTAATTAGTGAGTTTTTCGTTTTCGTTTTGTTGTGACTCAAAATAATTTACCCTAAAAAAAGCAGCTCAAACATGAATGATACATGCAGTCCAAAATGGGTCTTTAGGCCGAATGTTGGTGAGACATTTTTTTTACCTACATAGTTTTTCTTTATCTTGTCTTGGTATTGAATCATAGTAAAAAAAAAAAAAAAAAATGAAGGATTTTATGAATTAGTAAAGAAACAATGAATCAGTAATGGAACTAGGTTTTTAGTTGAAAGAAAATTTGATTTTCTTGAGCCCTATAATTTTCAGTCATGGCCAAAGCCACATTTTGTATTCAGATTATTGGGTTAGAGCATCTCCGATGGTTATGTCATTACAAGAAACCATGGGTCCAGCAATTAGTAACAAATATTAAAAAATGCTGTTAAAAAATTATTTTTAATAGCACCCCCAATCCTCTCTCTCTAGTTCGACTCAGACTCTCTCGTCGCTCCTCACTCTCTCTCTCGTCGCTCCTCACTTTCTCTCTTTACCCCCCTCTTTCTCTCTCTAGCTCGACTCAGACTGGTCTCTCCTCGCTCTTCAATGGAGAGCTTGATCTACCAAAATTATACTACGAACACAGTCCCCGTTGGAGTTTGATTTGGGAGCCAAATCCACATCTGATTCGCCAAAACAGGCCAACAATCATCGACGTTATCTCCATTTTTGTCCACTGCAAGTATATTTCACAGCTCCTTTTTTGTTTGAATTCATTATTTCATTATTAATTGGGGATTCATGTTGTTTCTCACTTTCTCTCTTTACTCCTGTTCCTCAACCTTCTCTCTCTACTCTCGCTCCTCACTTCTTCACTCATCACTATTTCTCCTAAATCAGACTGCGAACCCTAGGTTTTTCACTCTTCATCATAATTTGTTTTTATTGGATTTCATACTCAATTAGGCATTGATGTTTGTAGATACAATAGTGCATTAGCACAATCTTCTACTTTTCAACAGTATTTGAACCATATGAATGGAAAACTTGCCAGGCCTAACCACATACTAGATATGGATTTCAGCAGTTAAAAAATGTTTCAGTGTTTCAATTAATATATATGATGCACAATACTTAATTCTATATAGAAAATCCAATCAATTGCAACCTGTGGTTTTCCATTACATCTCATAGCTGTCAACTGGTTGCAAAGAATAATGAACTTTTGGCATATGCCACCATATTAGAGACAATTAGACTTCTTTCTGGAGCACTTGGAATGCATGAAGAACTGTTTTCCGTTTCAACTACATAAAGAGTGTCCATGTAGTCCATGTTTATAACTTCACCATTAGTATTTATGAAGTGTGGAAATTTATTCTTATAGAATGTAATATGAATTACATAAAGAGTGTCTGCTCTTGATCCTAACCTCGCAGCACAATGTAACCAACACTGGATGATGACCTTTCCTTACTTGCTACTAAAAGGATTCATTGAATGCATGTGCTCATGAGGGAACCATTTATTAACCCTGCTATACATATTGCCATCATTAAAAGCTTTATCAACCATATCCATTACATTGACTTTTTTGTTATGAAAATTGCTTGAATTTTGTCTTGTGCATGATCTGTCTATATAAGAGTTGGATTTTACTTGCTTTATTAGTTATGTTGTTAATTCTGCAACATTGTACATAATTTGGAATCAAAGATAGAGATAATTAAAATAATAATAGAACATTGAAATAGATGAATTATCAATATCACATTAGCATGTACTCTATAACCTACTTGCCTTTGTAGTTTCTTCAATCGCATTGCTTATAGTTGCCACTTTAAGGACACAAATATGGATAGGAGTTGGATTCATACGTCAAGGTACATTTTTTAGAATATTCTTCCTTCCATTTTATATGGTTTATAAGCTTATAACACATGTTTAACGAGTTAACTTTTCTTATTTTTATTCCGTGTTCGGTAATATTAGAGTGAGCGAAGACTACGTAGAAGGAGTTGGAAACTTTTTGGATTTTGCATTTTCTAATGCAGCTAAAGAGGGGATGATCTTATGTCCATGCACTAAGTGTAGTAATTGCTTTTGGAAGAATCGTCAAGAAGTATTAAATTATGTTATTGTAGATGGATTTCTTAATAATTACACATGTTGGGTGTTCCATGGGGAGAGAATCCCTTCAAGAGATCTTAATAACGTAATAGAGCATGAGGACTTAGACCTACAAGATGACTTACAAGGGATGTTGCATGATGCATTTGGAGTTAGAAGTCCTAACGATGAGTGGATGATCCGATGTATGACCATGAGCACATCCCACAACAAGTGGCCTATTATTCTGATCCCATACAATGTGTCCTAGAAGATCTGCATGAAGCAACCAAATTTCATCATGTCACTACTCATTCCAGGACCTCGATGGCCAGGAATTGATATTGATGTGTATTTATAACCTTTGATAGAAGAGTTCACGGAATTATGGGAGGTTGGTGTGGACACATTTGATACAGTAAGTAATGCCATGTTTAAAATGAAAGCAGCAGTGCTTTTGACTATTAGTGATTTTCCAGCATCTACAGACTTGTCTGGGTGGGGTACTAAGGGCAAATTGGCATGTCCACCTTGTAACAAAGGACACAAGTTATTTATGGTTGGAAAATTGTCATAAATATTGTTATTTGGGTGATCATCACTTCCTTGATTCTAATCATAGGTTTCGGAGACAATCCTTCTATGGTACTCAAGAATGGAGAGATCCTCCTAATTTGAATTGTGGGATTGATGTGTTAGAACAATTACAAGGTCAAAACATGACATATGGTAAGCCAAATCGTGATAAGGATGGGGAAAGGGGGTGAAAGAAAAAATATCATATATAATTGGAAAAAGAGGAGCATCTTTTTTGAGTTGGAGTATTGGAAGTCTAATTTGATTCACCACAATTTGGATGTAATGCACATAGAAAAGAATGTATGTGAAAGTTTGGTTGGAACACTTCTGAATATAGAAGGAAAAACTAAAGATCATCTCAAGGCTCGTCTTAACTTACAAAATATTGGCATAAGACCATCTCTCCACCCAATTCAGCAAGGAGGGAACAAGACATATTTGCCTCCTGCATGTTTCTTTTTGTCTGGAGAAGAGAAATGGATGTTTTGTACCGTTTTGAAGCATGTTAAAGTCCCAGATGGATGTGCATTAAATATTTCACGATGTGTGTATCTCAACGATTATAAAATATCGGGACTCAAGAGTCACGATTGTCATATTTTGATGCAACAATTACTTCCCTTGGCTATACGAAAGGTTTACCTAGGAATGCGGCTGCAAGTTTGATTGAATAATGTCGGCTATTCAGGGAGTTGTATTTAAAAGTTGCACATCCTAAGGATTTCGAGGAGTTAGAAGCTCGATTTGCACTAGTACTTTGTCACTTGGAGATGATTTTTCCACCCTCCTTTTTGACATAATGGTGCATTTGACTGTTCATGTAGCAAGGGAGGCAAGACTTAGTGGACCTGTACACTATCGAAATATGTATCCCATTGAGAGGTATTTATTAATTATTTGAGGTAATTAATTTTCATATAATGTTCTTTGAATTGTAATCAAACATATTTAAGATTAATTCAATTGTATACTTATAGGTACTTATGTAGACTTAAGGGTTATGTACGTAATAGAAGTCATCCAGAGGGATCAATTGTTGAAGGATACCTAGCTGAGGAATGCCTAACATTTTGCTCTAGGGTACTTGCATGTTGTTGAGACAAGGCTAAGTCGCCCAATAAGGAATTTTGAAGGTAATGATGTTGACTCAGGTAGATTTAAAGGGTCGTCCTCTTGGAAAGACTAGCATGGTTGTGTTGAAACAGATGAATTAACACAAGCACATCGATATGTATTGTTCAACTGTGAAGCAATTGCCCCATTTCAGATGTAAGTTGATTCTTTAATGCTATAAAAATGTCATAGCAATGTCATTACATAGTATGACTTACAAGCCTTATGTAAAATCCAGAAAACATAAAGATGAAATTATGGCAAACAGTCATAGAGCACGACCAAGGGAAGTACAACGCATGCATAATGCAACATTTCTGAATGGTTTAAGAATCATGTAAGAATTTGACATTGTTGACCTTAATTGTCATATTAGTTTAATTATATAATTTAACAGGTAGGTGTTGAATAATATCAAGCTTTTCGAGTTCAAGAGATAGGAACCCTATTGACGGAGATGTCGCTTATTACGGCGTTCTGAATGATATAATTCAAATAACATATTCTACATATTTGAAGGTTGTATTATTTAGGTGCAATTGGGTTGATGTTTAAAACCATGGTAGGGGAGTTAAGAAAGATCCATATGGTTTTGTATTGGTGAATCTTTCTCGACAATGTCATACCGAATCTTAACCATTTGATGAACCTTTTGTGCTGGCATCTCAAACTGAACAAGTGTTCCATACACAAGATCTAGTGGAGCCTGATTGATATGTGGTTACTAAGTTTAAACCACGAGATTATTTTGAAGAAGAAGGTGAAGAGGTGGTTGAAGATTCAGACAAATATTGGCAAAGTGAGCCAAATCACAGTCAGTACTTAGAGGATTATGAACCTGAAAGGGATGATGATATTAGGTGGGATAGGTTGGATCTGGTTAGGACCACAATTAATACATCAATGGTATTAAATCGGAGGCCTAGAGTGGAACAAGGAGATGACAACATGTCTTCTGAAGATGATGAAGATATATAATTGTAATTAAAAAGCACCAAGATGTTACTTCAATCTTCAATTCAGTGCTTTGGAACTACTTCTCCTCATTGACATGTCTATTTTCTCTTTCTACACTTCTCCATTTTAAAACCCTCTCTCTCTCTCCCCAATATATATATATATATATATATATATATATAGTGTTCTGGGTTATTCCTTTTTCTGTTTTTTAAGTAACAATTGCATACACTCTCTCTCACACATAACTGTGAGTGCACCTGAGACATTTTGGCTCTCACTTGTTCACTCCATTACTGTTGAGGTATAATATATGTTTCTCATTTATTCTCTTTGCAAATAAATGAATAGCTCCATTGTCTATGTATATAGATTTGCATGTATATGTATATGTCTATATCTATATCTCTGTCTTTATTTCTTTTATATAATAAGTGTATGTGGATTTTGATTACTAAAAGAAGTAAGATAACAATACAAGGAAAAAACATTCTAAATAACAATTTATGTGTTTTAAAATTTTTATATTTTAATTTATTTTGGCATTTGGAAGTTTAATTATAGTGTTAAGACAACTTATAAATGATGTAACATTTTCCTCATTAAGGCTTTAATTCTATTTACTTTTGTTCATAAAATGGTAAGATGTCTACTTAAGCCGCAATGCTTACATGCTTTTGTTTGGTTGGCAGGAAAGTTTTTCCTTCTTTTTTCTCAAATATTGTTGAACTTATCTGAATATAGCTTTTATTACAATGTTTAATCCTCTTTGTTATATTCAAAAAATTTAAACATGTCATTCTTATAAAATACTCCATCGAGATTTGAAACCTAAGAATTTGCTTATAGATATTGACATCAAGGTTCAAAAATTTCTTTTTCTTTTATTGATTTTAGCAAGAAAAGTTGTAACATTTTCAGGAAATATGTGGAGTACTACAAAAGGCAAATGTACAAAGGGCAACACATGAGACACTACACTAGCAACCTCATATGGTCCAACCAAGTTCTAGTGGACAGTTAAGGCCATCTCAAAATTGTATTACTGCTGAAACTGAAGGTATATAAATGAGGCACTTTCAAGTTTCAATGTATATATAAATGTGTGTATATATATATACACATTATACACACACAAGATACTAGCTAGAGTTTTTATTATTAGTATTATTATTATTATTTATTTATCGAATAGTATTGTCCTTTTCTTTGTGCTTGAAATTCTGAAGGTAAAAAATTAGTTTTCAAACTAGGAAATTAGTTTTCATGGGGAGAGTAATCGTATTCTGTTTGTCTCTGATGTTCTGTGTAGAGTGATGCTCTATTTCATTTAGTTACATTGAAACTGCTAAGGCCATTATTGATCCTCGCCATGTAGCAATACATGTACCAAGAGTTTAAATTGTAATGTATTATTTACTTTTGTTTAATGTGATGCCTAATACCTTATATGCGGCATTTCTTAGAGATGATCTTCTTTTAATGGAGTTTAAATTAGTGCTTTAAAGTTGAAGCAAATGTAAAGACAGATGCCAATTGAATGACATGTCATCACTTGTGTTGTGCACACTTGTTATATGTTCCATTTGATAATTGATTTATGTCTAACAATCGTGTCTTTTATGACTAATTTGGTCAGGATTTTGTTGTTCATCCTGTTTTTACTAATTTTCGTGGTCATTATATCTTAAAAATTGCACCTCTAATGCATCAGTACTTAGTTGCACTTGTTTTATAATTATCTCATTTTTTGCTGTAAAAATTTTCAGAAAATATGAGGCATAATAAGAAAGCCAAATGTATTAAGGGTGTCATGACTAGTGGGGCACAACAGTCACTTCACCAGCAACGGATTCATCAGGTTGGCTCCATGCAAACACTGTGAGATATATTTTTGTAAATTGTTATATTTCGGTAACAAAACAAGTTCTAGTCGAGTTGTGAATTCAGTTACCATATCAAACTCGACATCGACTGCGGAATTGGAAGTTTGTTCAGAAGAGGAAAGTACTTTTGATCATTGAAAAGGCAAGAACAACACATTAGGACTTCGTTTCCTACTTAAGACACAAATACTTATATGGTATATTTTCAGAGTTCCAAAAATACAGAGAATCCAAGTTCAAGTGGATTCTGTCAAGTGGGAACCGGTACTTGAATTTGGGAACCGGTTCTAGAAGCTAAGATTCGAGAACAACTCTCTGTCCTTTGGGAACCGGTACCAAGATTGGGAACCAATTCCAGATGTCCTGATTGCAAAAGGTTTACAGCTTCCTTGTTCTGTTTGATTCCTTTTTGATCCAACTTTCCTTTCTAATCCTATGCATGAAATTTTCATTATTTTCAAAAGGAATAGGACTTTACAAACCTCTATATAAACCATGTCATATACATTGGTTTATTTACAGATTTTGATCTACGAATTCATTATTCTTAAAAGCCTTAGGAAGATTATTTTTGCAGAAAATCAGAGTTGAATTTTTTGACATCTTTCTAGAACACATACACATAAACACACAGAGTTTGTGAGTTTAGAGTTGTGGTATTCAAATCCTGATCGTGATCATACAGTTGCATCTACATCGATCAGATGAAAGCAGATCTACTTCTACATCGAATTAAGACGATTAAAGAATAGAAATAAAAGCAATCACACTTTGAAAGGGTTGGAGTATTCAAGGAGTGTTGTCTAATCTACCTGCTACTCTTCTACAAATATCAAGCATAAGCCTGAGGTCAAGTTGCTGTTGGACGGGGAGTTACAAAGCCAAAGAATTGTCAGCAGTTGGTGTTTAGTAGAACGATAGGGTGTGAGCCAGAGTCAAAATTCGGTATACTTTGTTTCAAGTATAATGGATTGGTTTACTTTAGACTGCACAGTTCATGAGGTTTTTCCTATAACAGTTGACGTATTTTATCAACTGGGGTTTCTTCGCTAAAAATCATGGTGTCATCTCTAACTTTATACTTTATTTTATTTTATCTATATATGATTAATTGTTTAATTGGTGCCCTGACATAAGGGGCAGATCTGAGGAAGATTGTACGTTTGTTGCTTTTAATGAATTGGGGCAGCCCATTGAGGAAAAAGGCAAAATTTGGTTAATTTCTGGGTACTACAGAATAGAGCAGCGAGCTACTACCCTTACATTTTACAGATTGGAGGAATTTACCTGATCTGTTTAAAGAGGAGGTCTGTAAAATAGTCTTGGTATGAAGCATTATGTCAATCTGTTTATCAATACTAGTGGACGCACAAACACAGTTTATACTTTGTAGGTCCAACTAAGTTTGCTTTATGTGTTTTGAATTTGTGGCAGGAAAAGTTTTTTACTCCAGAGTATGCTAAATCATGGGTACTGAAATCGATTGGTAGGAAATGGAGTAATTTTAAATCTAATTTGAAGAGAAAGCATTACAAGAAATATGCGACAGATATAGAGCGACAGATAGATCGTGATGATCAAGTTCTGCCAGAGCAGTGGTATTACCTAATTCAATTTTGGAACTCAGACAAAGGACAGGTGTAAAGCACACATTCCCTTTTTGATTTCTCTTATCTTTCTCTAAAAAATGTTTTAACATGTTTTTCTTATTTTTAGGAGCGTAGCAATACTAATACCATCAGTCGTTCTAAGCAAAAATATAATTACACAGAAGGGTCAAAAAGCTTTGCCGAATACGCGAGGAAGAGGTAAGCTATTTTGTGCATTATGCTTATGTGATAATATTTTGGTAGTCTAATTTCCAAATAATTATTCTGAACTTGAATGTTAATTATTTATTTGAGGATAGCGTAAGAAGAGGCCTAATGGAGAGGAACCAACTCGGGCAGAGATGTATATACTAGCGCGCACGTTGAAGAATGGACAACCAATGGATGAAGCATCTGCAAAAATTATTGTAAGATATGTTCGTGGAATTTGGACTTTGTAGTGGACTATTTTTTCATAATAATACATATAAGATTAAATTGTTGCTTACGTTATATTGTGGTTATATAATGCAAACATTTGCCCTTTTGTATGTAGAAAAAGCTTAAAGAATATGCAACTCAGCAACCAAAAACTTCACAACATGGTGCTGCTAGAGATGACATCTTTTCCCAAGTTGTTGGGGAAGATAGACGTGGCCTGGTTCGCACATATGGCTTGGGTCCCTCTTCGTCAGATCTGTGGGGGGGCTGTGGTAAGACTATTTTAAGCCTACCAAAAAAATTAAGCCAAAATAACATTACTATTCATTATATTCATACAAAAAATTTTAGGCATTGATTTTTAATTTTTTTGGAAAATAATATTGGTTGAAATTGATTATCTATTCCACTATTAGGTCTTTGAACGAGAGCAATTTGATTTTTTATTTTTTTGGAAAATAATATTGCACTTTGGGTGATTGAAAAACGAAGAGAGCCACCATTTGGTGTGATTTTTGAGATGCAATGTGTTCAAAATCATAGATATGGTAACAGAAAAATCAAAATGTAAAGTTATTTGGAAACAAAAAAGTCAAAATGTAAAGTTAGAATTTTGAATTTGAAAACAGAACCGGTGTCTAATTTGATGAAAATAATATAAACTTTAATTGATTGAGATGCCATATTGAAAAATCAAAATCGTACAATCTGAAAATAGAAAAAAAAAGTGGAGAGAGAAGAGAGAATGGGATTGACATTGCTACTGAGGGAAAGAATTGCGTCCCTCCATTCTTCCAAAAAAAAAAAAAATGTAAGAGAAAAAATAACCCAAAATTGAGCCATATTTCAAGGAATGATTGGAAAAAAAAAGATTTTTTATTTAAAATATGTTAAAAGAAGTAAAGATCAAATGTATATAATAGATTATATATATATAACTAAAAAATTTGGGGTGGGGGGGCACTTGTACTTTTTACCTATACAATACTAATTTTTTTTTTTTTTTTTTTTAACCTATGCAAAAAACAAAAAAAATTCCATAATTTTAGGGGGGCCATGGCCCCCTCCAGCCCCCCCTCCCTAGCTCCGTCCCCGTGTGTAAAATACACAATAATTTTATACATTGGTGACGTGTCAGTATATCTTAAAAGATTTCTAAAGATAAAAAAAAAAAATTTACACATCATATGTGGCAGTGTATATTTTACACAAAAGAGTATTTTAACATACTGATAGAGATACTTTTACTATTTGAGTTAGTGGATCTTCCGAACCTCATGCAGTGGCAAAATACAATCCCTAATTTTCTGCAGGCAACTTTCTGAATTTTTTGAAACTTCCCATATTTTGATTTTGGAAGCTTTTCTGATTTATGTAATTTTCTGATTTTTAGTAACTTTCCTTTATTGCAATTAAACCAATTAGGACTAGAATTGTTAGGAGACTCTGTATAAAGGTGGCCAAGGGTGCTGGAGAGGTGGTGATTAATTTTATTTAATACATTAGCAGCAACGATTGTTTGATAATTTGTTTTACTCCTTGTTCAAGCATTCTTCGACAATTGTTTGTCCTCTTGGTAAATGTGTCGCAAGAAATTAAAATTTGGTATTGGTATCCCATGTTGATTAATGTGATATTTGTATAATATATATATATATATATGTGGAACTATGGATATATGTAATAAATAACAGTTGGATAAGAATTTACTTCAGAGTGTCATCCATTTCATTAGCAAACTTATCGGGATTGACAGTCTAAAAATTTAATTTGTTGGTTATCAGTGTATATATATCACTCGAGAGTGTGGAAAGAAAAACTACCATATATAAGTGATAGATATGCGAGACATTGGCTCGACCAAAGTAAACAATCTATCTATAATTCTAAATACTATCCTTTTAGGGTGATCACGATTTGATCTTGACATGAAGTGACACGTAAGTCATTTGTTGCCGCGGGAATCCAAATACTTCACAATAAATACTATACAAGACATAGTCATGTTGCGGGGATAGCTCAGTTGGGAGAGCGTCAGACTGAAGATCTGAAGGTCGCGTGTTCGATCCACGCTCACCGCATCCTTAATTGTTTTTATTTTTTGTGGGCTCCATTTTTCACTTATTAACGTATTTGGTAATTGCAAAGTTCCTGTAGATTTTCTAGGCAAATAAAATTCAGTTATTTAAATAAATTGCACATATATCATGAAACTCACACACTCGTTTTGCTCCTTTGGAAACTTAAAATATCACCATCCATTTTGGAAGGTAGAGAAGTACCATTAAGCCACAAGTCTCTTGATTTACGCTTTACTGCAATAATTAACAAGTGAAAATGAGTCTAGAAAAAGATGGGAGATAATAATAACAAGTGAATATAATTTTAGAATAAGAAATGTTATATTTGGTTTTTTTTTTTTTTTTGGGGGGGGGGGGGGGGGGTGGGGGGGCAAAAAATTGTGGCTATTGGAAGAAAAATTTAATGTATTTTTATGAAATCACAACAAAATTTAACAAAGAAAAGATTCAATAAAATTATTTACCAAGGATCATTCTATTCAGCTTGTCTGCAGGTATTTTTTTTTTAGGTGAGTAATTGAGACAACCCTCACTTGGATAATAATTTTAGGGTCTTTTATTTGAATAGTGATACTCGCACGAAAGGCTTTAACCGATTTCCTTAGCCTCAAACCGGACTCCTACCCAAACCTCATTGACAAACCAAGGATACAATAGTCATTTGTCTACATAATAATTATATAGTTACTCCATTTGACCTGTTTTGCTACTTAGAGCTGTAGAGGACCTAGGGAGGTCATTCAAGTGTCCATACCGAATTCAAAACTTCATTCAAACATCATATGCCCTGTTAAGGACATAAAACTAAGACATACAAAAGTTGGTTGGCCTACAAGGCCTTGGATACAAAAGTTACATGCCACAACTCAAAAATATATATACAAGTGTCATTATGTGAACATGGAACTTAACACACTATAGACATGGCATCAAAAAACACGTTGCAACCTATATACAATCAAGTCCACCAAGAAAGTAGCAACTAGCATGATCAAAACACATCCCAAGCTCCGCATATGCAACCTCAAGGTTGAGATTAAGGAATCTTTCCCTCCGCTTGCTTTTCACCTGCAATTCGTCACCCATTAAAATTTCTCAGTAGAGAGTGGCTAAATAACATTTCCTATAGTCTCGTTACTCTCGTAAGTCATGCTCACTAAGCATATAGTGGAACAAGAAGAATGGATCATAATGTTCAAGATCAAACAAATTTCAAAGAGTAACATAACAGTGGCATGCTTGTACTATAACATAATTCAAACAAAAAACCATTAGGAACACCATCCAAATCATATGCTAATGCACACCTATGCATCATGAAGTACCCCACATGGACTCTCACACACAACACAAACCTTGTAATCCAAAATTTTAACTCAAACACACGGATTGGTTCACAACTAAATATGGGGTACCTCCCCATATCCCTACCCTCGCTTCACGAGTTAGTAGCCCATCAATAACGACACCCACTTGGCCAAGTTTTGAGATTTTCAACCCTAGAGCCACACCCTTCCTATGTCATCAACAACCAATCCCATTTCGGAAACACATTTCACAAACTTAGGAAAATCGAATCCATAAACTTTTGCAAAATCAATACTCAGACAAGTCCTACAACTACAACCCCACATTATGCAATTCAAGGTGAGATGAATGAACTTGACTTCACAAGCTATAGCAATGGTAAATGTGACAATCATTACATCATTTCAACATTTTAAGACTACTAACATAAATTTTCAACATATAAGTACAATTTCTAACAATTAAATACAATTTCCAACAATTAAATATAATCTGCAGCAATTAAACGGAATTTCCAGCAATTAAGCATAATCTTTAGCAATTAAAATTAATTTTCAACAACTGAACTTAATTTTCAGCATATAATATTATTTTCCAGCAACTAATAAATAATGTCCAGCATGGATTTATAATTTTCAGCTCTTAAACATCAACATGCATACATTTATATGTCTACATTATAATTTACAGCATAAGATTATAGTACTATACAATTCACTTGAAATTAACTTATTAATCATGTTAGAATTCAAGTAGGAAAGCTAATACACCAATTATATCACAATTAATATGACTTATAAACATGATAATAAACCCACCATTTGTATACTATATATTTATCTACATTAGCATGCCAAGAGAGGGAAAAACATACAATCACTTACAAAACCAAGGAAACCTTATTAGACACCCTGCCTCAAATTGACGGCTAGCCCTAATTTCCCAAAAGATGAAAGTGCACCAAATGAAATTCCAAGACCATAGGATGAAAGCTATTGAGAAGATCTTCAATTCTTTCAATCATAGCTTCCATCAATTCCCAATCTAGTCAATGGGGCGAGTGTGGGTGTATAGCCAGCTGCTATAGTGTGGAGAAAATGGGTATCCGTTTGTCCAACTGTCTTATATATGCACATGACCAGAAAGTAAGTGGGGGGCTTGGCCCCAATTTCCACTACCACCCATTAAAATGTCAATCATGCCCCATTCTACACACTTAAGCATATACACACAATATAAACTACAAGAAATAAAATTAACTGTCTAAGTAAGTATAAAATAAAGTAAGCGGTGTTGTAAAAATTCCCAAACACAAAACATCCAAACTAGGGCCTACACGGGAACCTCCCAAGCCCACAACCCGAAATGAACAAGATGACTCTAAATACATTTCTAAGAATTCGTGACTCAAAAAAATATCTCTAAAGAATTCCAGAACCCTCGTGGCACATATACCCACACATAGAAACACATAATACATAAAATAAAATAAATGGAATAAAATGGAAAAAATGAACTCGGGGATCACAACGTCCCTAACTTATAGGGATTTCGTCCCCGAAATCAAGTTGTACCTAAAGTCGTGAACAAATACAGATACTTGAAATGAACCTCCTGCTCCCGTTCCCAAGTGGCCTCCTCTATTCCATGGTGCCTCCACAAAACCTTAACTAACAGAATACTCTTGTTGCGCAACACCTACTCCCTAGAGTCGAAAATTTGTATTGGCCTCTCCTCGTAGGTAACATCCTTATCCACCTCAATATCCAACCAACTCAAGACATGGGATGGATCCAGCTCATACTTCTATAATATAGAAACATGGAATACATTATGAACCTCATCCGACTATGGTGGCAAAGCCAATCGATAAGCCACATCTCTAACGCACTCCAATATCTTAAAGGGCCTAATGAATCTAGGAAACAACTTGCCGGCCCGCCCAAACGCATCAATCCCTTATGTCAGGAGACCTTGAGAACATGTCGTCTCCCACCTCAAAGAATAAAGGTGATATTCTCATATCGGTATAACTCTTCTGTCTCCTCTAAGCTATAATCAATCACTGTCAGATCAACTTAATCTTTTATGTGGTCTCGTCAACAATGTCGGGTCCCAAGGCAACTGTTTCTCATACCTTGGTCCAACAAACTGGAGACCTAGATGGTCTGCTATACAACGCCTCAAATGGTGCCATATATTTGATGGTCTGATAGCTGTTGTTGTAGGAAAACTTGACTAATGACAAATGATCTTCCCAACTGCAAGCACATGATATGTGATAAAGTATGCTTAACTTGACTATATGTTACTTGTTTTAGTTATGAAGCTGTGATTATGGGATAAAGCATGTTATATGTGATTACTTGCCTTGTGTCTAAGCATGTGGAATTGTTTTCAAGTATCATATATGTTTATAGGTGTTTGTAAGTGTCATGTTTCATGCTTTTCTAAGTGGGTTGGTGTGGATTCTAAGTGCATGGAAATGATTAATTAACTCACATCTTTATTAATCACTTTCTTGTCAGTAATAGAAACATTCCTCCAAGTAGGGCTGCAACTCGGGCGGGGTGGGCGGGCTTGGCACTCATCTCGGGCTAGGCCCATATAGAAAATCTTCAACCCAAGCCTAGCCCAAGCCTGCATTAAGCTCGAGCCAAGCTGCCCAAGCCCAACCTATTGTTGGGATATGTGTGCCCTAGCATAACAAATTCTTATTTGGATTGTAAAAGTTATGGTTCCTTATCTGAATATTTTTATTAAGGCATTATACAATTGGTGAATGGAATGTATTATTTTTTCGATTCATTATAGAATTGATTGTGTCCACTTGATTACAAGATATATTTATATATGTATGTTGTGACAGCCCTGGTTTTTCAAGCCAGTGCGTCGTGTGATAAACCGAAGATTAACCCGATAACGGATCCGAATGCGGAAGCAAAATTAGAAAATAAGACTCTAAGAAGTCAAAGTAACCTTCTATCAGGTCGTGGAACTCAATGAGAACTAATGCGGAAGCAAAAAATCAAAAATATGACAAATAAGCTCCTAGGGGCAAAATAGTCATTTCTGAAAACTGTGGACTTGAGTGCCACCGAGCACACCGCTGAAAGGACAATGAAAAACTAATCAAGATGGACTCAAGAATCACATAATTCGGAATCCGGACGAAGGAGAAACGACATGACGAAGAAAAACCTAATTTTCTTGGACCAGTTTATCCTTTTTGCCTTAAATGCTCGTTTTTCTTTGTCATGTCGTTTCTCCTTCGTCCGGACTCCGAATCATGCAATTTTTGAGTCCATCTTTATTAGTTTTTCGTTATCCTTCCAGCAGTGTGCTCGATGGCACCCGAGTCCACAGTTTTCAAAAATGACTATTTTGCCCCTAGGGGCTTATTTGTCATATTTTTTATTTTTTGCTTCCGCATCAGTTCTCATTGAGTTCCATGACCTCATGGAAGGTCACTTTGATTTCTTAGAGTCTTGTTTTCTATATTTGCTTCTGTATTCGGATCCGTTATCGGGTTAATCTTCGATTTATCACAAGACGCACTGCCTTGAAAAACCAGGGCTGTCACAGGTGGTATCAGAGCTCCTAGGTTTGAATACCTTGGACGACTGGTTTTTGGTGCATATCATGCTTGTGTTGCCATGCTCTATATGTTTATATACTTTATGATAACATGTTTTGGCCTAATAACATGTTTATGTGCTTGAGTGCTTATATGCTATACGCGGTGTGCCATTTGTTTAAACATGATTGAGTCTTACCATTGTGGTAAGGACTCATATTTGTTTTGAGACAGGTTGTTGTCACACTGGTTTTTGGAGTCAGATTATGGCTAGGATTGGTCATTCCTTTACCTAAACACTCTAGGACACGATGTCTATAGGGTTTATTGTTACATCATTTTATCTTCTGCAGTTTCATTTACCACCATGTTAGTAGTATGATTATTGTTATTACGATGCATGAGTAGGTGGAGGTCTATCTACATTTATCTTCTTATTGTGTGACATTAGCATGCCTTACATATATGCTTAAGGATGCCATGTTGTTGTTGTGTTTTAGTGACATGCTTTTGTGTTTATGTGGAGACGTGCCGCATGTACCCTTGATTTTATCTATGTGAGTAGATTAACTTATTTGGTAGTTGCATTCCTTATCAGATGCATGACTTCCATGTTTCGTTTTCCCTTTTATTTACCTCAGTCGCACGTAGTGTGTATGGTTTCGTTGTGAGATTCCTTGTAGAGGAGTTGTCACATTTGTTTTGTCTTGAGCTGTCTACTTCCCTAAGGTGGGAAGAATGCTTCCTCTTCGTGTTCATTGTGTTGCCATTGAAAGGGAATATGGTTTCTTTTCCTTTTCTTGGTTCGTGTTTGGGACTTCACAAGGAGTGAGTCTCTTCTCTTCGTCGCCTTATGCACGGTTTTAGGGTTGGTTGGTCCGTAAGGATCATCATTGTTGTCTTAAGTCCTTGGTGAGGATTTGATGGATTTTAGGTCGACTTACTTCCATGTAGGGAGTGAATTCTTTGACCTTGTTGTCTTTCGTTTCAGAGACGGAGTCGTTGTGACAACCTTGGTTTTTCAAACCAGTACGTCTTGTGATGAACCGAAGATTGACCCGATAACGGATCTGAATGCGGAAGCGAAAATAGTAAACAAGACACTAAGAAGTCAAAGTGACATTCCATGAGGTCGTGGAACTTAATGAGAACTGATGCGGAAGTAAAATATCGAAAATATAACAAATAAGCCCCCGGGGGCAAAATAGTCATTTTTGAAAACTATGGACTCGGGTGCCACTGAGCACACCGCTAGAAGGACAACGAAAAACTAATCAAGATGAACTCAAGAATCGCGTGATTCGGAGTCCGGACGAAGGAGAAACGACATGACGAAGAAAAAAGAGCACTTAAAGCAGAAAGGGTAAACTGGTAATTATTTAGGAAGATCCGGGTGCAACCAAGCACACCATTGGAAAGACAGCAAAAAATTAGTCAAGTTCAAAAAAAAGTTCACTCAATTTGGAGTCCGGACGAGGGAGAAACGAGTGTTTGAAGTTGTGACATCGCGGCGGCCGGACGAAGGCCATGGCCCGCCCGGCTCCCATGCGCAAGCCCACCGGCGCCCATGCCGGCACCCAATGGCGTGCACATGCTGACAACAAGAAAAAAAAAATGTGAGTTCCAGAACTGAGGCTTGAAACGAAGGTCAAGACGAGTTATTCTGGAAAAACGCGAAGAAGAAACCCCCCCTAAAATTGAGTTTTCTACCCGACTCCGCGAAAGGAAATGAAAAAAAACTCACTGTAAAATCCCCAAAATGCCCCTCCATAAAATCTGGTTATAAAGGCCAAAAAGCTGCTAGAATTGAAAACTGGAAGCTGAAACTTCACGAGGGATTTCTGGTATGAAGACGACATTTTCAGGAAAAACACGAAGAAGAAACCCCCCCTAAAATCACATTTTCTAAGCGACCATGTTGAAAGAAGAAAATGAAACTGATATGAAAATACTAGAAAGCCCCTAGTTCAGATTATGCAACAAAGTTTCAAAATGAGTCCATAGGAGGCTCATTTCACCAAAGAAGAAGGTGTGCCTAGAAACGACCATGCACGCATACGTAACTCACCTATTAGAATGTGCTACAATGGTCCATGGCTTAAAAATACCACCGATGCAAAATCCAACCCCCCAACAGGCAAAAAGGCAAAAAGGAACAAGAAAAGGGAAATTTGAAAACCAAAGTTAACAAATTATTTCCAATTACCGTTTGGCCCTTGGCCATACTTCAAACATGATTTATAAGACCCTATGAAAGAATAAAAATGGAATTCCCACACCCGATGCAAAAGTTATGAAGCAATGACGTAGCATTTTTTCAATATTTTCATAATATTTCATGAAGTTAAAGTTGCATAGAATACAAGATACATGTCATTGGCCTCCGGCCTCATCTTATAAATGTCAAATACATTGCATAGAGTGTACTTATGTACACATTACATAATTGGAATCAAATCTACACATTTTGACAAATAAGGCTATAAGTGGCATTTCAAGCCAACATTTTCATGAAAATGATACTTCAAGTCTACGAAACTTCCATGGCATAGTGTGCATCCCAAATAAGGGTCCCTATACCTGAAAAATGTC